CCAAAGGACCTTTAAGGAAGCAACTTCTTTGTTTCTCAACTTTCGGACTTGCCGGTCTAAAATCTCAATTGTAACCTCTTCATAAGAAAGATTCTCTTTAACTCTCAAACCTTCCAAAGAAACAATAGATGTCGGATCTCCAACACACTTTTTCAACAAAAAGACATGGAGTACCGGATGTACCGATGCTAAATCATTAGGCAACTCAAGTTCATAAATAATCTTGCTAATACGCCTTAAAATCTTATATGGGCCCACAAAACGAGGACTAAGCTTCCCTTTCTTTCCAAATCTCATTAAACCTTTTGTGGGTGAAATTTTCAAGTATACCCAATCATCAATATCAAATTCTAGTTCTCTTCTTCTAACATCGGAATAAGACTGTTGTCGACTTTGAGCCATTTTCAACCTCTCACGAATAAGTTGAACCTTTTTCATAGTCTTATGCACCAACTGGGGACCTATCAAAGAGACCTCACTGATCTCAAACCATCCAATAGGAGACCTGCACCTCCTACCATAAAGAGCCTCATACGGTGTCATCTCAATGCTAGAGTGATAATTATTATTGTAAGCAAACTCAATCAAAGGCAAATGGTCATCTCAACTGCCCTTGAAATCAATCACATAAGCTCTTAGCATATCCTCCAAAGTCTGAATGGTACGCTCAGCTTGTCCATCGGTCTGAGGATGAAAAGTCGTGCTAAATTTCACTTGAGTATCAAAACCTTTTTGAAATGACTTTCAAAATTGAGATGTAAATTGAGTACCTCGATCGGAGATAATGGACAAAGGCACTCTATGCAACCTTACTATTTCGCTAATGTAAAGCTTGGCATAATCCTTCTATGAAAATGAAGTCTTAACGGGAAGAAAGTGAACTGATTTCATCATTCGGTCCACTATGACCCAAATCAAATCAAATTGTAAACCCGTAATTAAGTCCATATTCAAATCTTTCCACTTCAATGTAGGAATATTAATTTCTTGAGCCAAACCACCCGGTTTCTGATGCGCAACTTTCACTTGTTGACAATTCAGATATTTAGCCACAAATTTCGCAATATCCTTCATCATCCTATTCCACCAATAGACTTTCCGCAAATCAGGTACATCTTGGTGGCTCTCGGGTGAATAGAATACCAAAAACTATGTGCTTATGTCAGAATATGATTTCTCAACTCATCAACATTTAAAACGCATAACCTACCTTGATATCGAAGGACACCAGCTCCTCCTTGGGAGAAAGCCTCAATGACTTTTTCAGAATCCGACTTATTTAAATCAATTAATACCGGATCAAGATCTTGCTTAGCCTTAACATCTGATACAAAAGACGATTTCGAACCATTATGAGACATTTTCTATTATTAGTTAGGGGGTATTTTATGTAAGAGGGTGTTTAGTTGTAAATAATTTATTCCTATTGGGCGTGCATGTACTTTTCCCTATATTAAAAGAAGGGAAAACCCTAATATGCCATCAAACTATTATAAATTGTGTATTCATGTCATTCGTTAAAAGTTGGACTCATTTATATTTCTAAAGTTTAGAGATGGCAAACGGGGCAGGGCGGGGCGGGGCAGGACCAACCCGTGTAAGCCCGCAAAGACTCCAATCCACCCTGCTCCCGCCCACATAGAATTTTTTTTATTTTCAACCTGCTCCGCCTCGTCCCACCCACATAAATTCACACGGTATATAATCTGCTCACTAACTTGACTACTTGTGTATGCAAATAATATAAAGTTGAATTCAAATATTTTAATTTGTTTAGAAAACTGCTTTTGATCACTTATTAAATCATGAATAATTAGCTTGCACAATCTAATTCGATTACTTTGAAAAAACTATAAAAATAAAAGATATTTATTTTATTATTCATTTCTTTTCATTAACAGTTACTTTTATCATTTGAAAATTCTCATTTTCTGATCCCTTTATCGAGTATATTTTTTTATTTGTAAATGTACATGGTTTCATATTTAGCTCAATCTTCGTAACGGTATACTCGTAACAGTATGAGAATGGGAATTAATATATAAAATAAAATTTGTGATTCAAATTTTAAAAAATTAAATTAAATTAAAATCTGCACAAACTTGTACAAACCCGCAATCTGCCTCGCTTCGCCCCCGCATCAATTTGTTAAAGAAGTACTTCAACCCAACCCCGCACCCATAGCCTTCAACCCGCCCTGCCCCACATAGCCTTCAACCCTTCCTGTCCCATATTCACCCGGCTCCATTGTCATCCCTATTTAAATTACTCAAAGTGTCCATTTATGCCACTATATATTGATGAAAAGTATAGACAATTTTTATCTACCAGAATTGGACATGTAGCTTACAATTAGTGGTTCACATCACTCTCTTATTTCACCAAATTTTAATCTTATCCCAATTTAATCGACCCGCCCCAGGAGGAACCCAACCCACTTCCCTTTTAACTCAAAACCAGCCAGCCCCCTTTGTCTTCTTCACTATAAACTCAGGCAAGGAGCTTCTAGCTTTAGTGAACCAGAGCAACCATCAACATTGCTGGTTGGTTCAATTTACCGGAGCAGAAGACAAAGAGGGTGGTCTGTTTTCGATTAAAAGGGAAGTGGGTCGGGTTCAATTCAGGGGTGTTAATTTAATTGGAATGGATTTTAATTTGGTGGGACCATAAAGTCACGTGAACTTCTATTTAGAGGTCAGGTGTCTAATCATCTTAGTATTTATAATCAACTATGATTTTCGTTAAAAATATAGTGGCATGAATGAGCACTTTTGATAATGGTAGTGGCTTAGGTGTTGTGATGGAAATAATTATGTATCATGCGAAAGCTAGCAGAACAAATCTTGAAAGATCATTAGTAGGAAAACAAACGAGTAATATATCAAAAGAGATAAAAATATTTAACATGGTTTGATCAACCGATCTATATCCACAAAAGAAGATAACAATTCACTATATAAATATGGGAGTACAAAATATTGAGAGAAATAATCTCACACAATTCACTGGTAATAAAAAAAAAGTTCACCTAAGTGATAATATATCATTTGTGTCCCAATAATTCTCCCCTTAAACAAAACTCACAAAACCTCTATGGCTTCATTGTGAATGTTACCAAGTTAAAATGAATGAACCTCTATTTATACAATGATAAACATTTTTCTATAAAAAAATGACTAGCCAAATATGAAGACTTTGTCCTTTACTTTTAGGAAAAGGAAAACCTATTATTATGCTTGAAAATCAAGGTAAATACCCAACAACGAATTAGGTGAATGAGTCATTTCTAATAGCTGATGAAATATTTGAATTATTTTTTTTAATATAAGAGGCATACATATAAGGCACTATTATAATGTGTCAATATGCAAATATATTACTAGTCAAATTGTGTTAGAAAGTGAAAGGGTCATGTAATTGAACGACGAAGTCAATGGAGCGGAGATGGTCACGCGGTACTCAAGACCAAGCCTTAGCCCTTAGTGACTCGGTTGTTCTTCAGTCTTCCTCGACTTTTTATAGACAATTATATTGCTGCTTCTATTTTAGAAAATACTATGTTTTCTTCGTTCAGTCTTAGTTGTCATAATCTTATTTTTTAGGGTCAAACAATATGAATTTTGACTAATATTTTAAGATAGTATTTTTTAAATCATATTAATATGAAAAAAGTTGTAATTTATAGTACTTTCCATATAGTTTTTGAATATCTAAGAATTTTATTTTAAAATATCGAATTAATATAGTTTAATTTAACTTTAAAAATTAGTCAATTAACTCTCAAAAAGTACAATATGACAACTAAAAAAAACTGAGGGAGGGTATATAATTGGGAAAGACTAGTCAGCCCAGCTTGATAACCTACCAAATGCCATTTCTTGTATTCCAAAACGTGTTTTGACTTTACTTGACCTAACCTCCTCTTTTCTTTTTTTTTCTTCTTTTAATCCTAAATTTAATAGATTATATTATTTATATTAATTATTCTTAAAAAAGAACGACTTTTCTTGATTACTAAACTTCTATAAACTAAATAAGTCTTCCCAAATAGTTTAGTTATTTAATTTGGATTTATCCTGAAAAAAAGTTACTTGTATTAAAAAGTATGTATACGGACAATATTGCTATCGATATCTTGTCCAAGTCTTTCTTCCTCCTCAATATCAGTTTTTGTAACATATTAAACCATCATCTGGACATTTAAGATTGTGTGGAATAACATATTATGATTCTAAATTAGTCACACCCATTTTTTTTCGTTGCAATATATAGGAATAAAATGGTGAGACAAAACATATAATTTAAGGGGTAGGATGTTTGTATGGACAGGAAAGCCAAATATGTGGAATGAGTTGGTCAATACGTTTTCTTTTTGGATGGAAAATAGATGTGGGACAAAAATGAAAAATAAAGGCCAAATGGAGCTAGAGTATGGACTGGTTCGATTATAAGGCCACTAAAGTAATGATTTGAAGCTTCAATTCTTTTGGAGACCCACTTTTTTTACAGATGTATTCTACATATATATTGTTTGTCTATATACTTTTAGTGTCTTCTTCAAATTTCAAGCATCGCAACAAGTCAACATTATTTTAATATCATTATATCAACTTATCAAATTCAACTCAACACTATTTCGATATCATTATATCAACTCTTCAAAATCTTGAGCCAAATTTTATTATTTTAACTTTATATTATATTTTTTTTATTGAAAATTTTCATTATTTTACATTGTTACTTCATTGCATATTACGCACTCTGACTTCACTTATAAAATTATAGTAAATATATTATTAACATTCTATTTATAATTTATATATGCCATTTAAGATAAGAAAAAAAAATGTGTGGTAAATGCATGAGGTAGGGTAGTAACTAGTAAGAGAGGAAGAGTACGTAAGAGAAGAATAGTCAAAGCATTACCGGTGGCGCCGGTCAATGGTTGATCAACCTCTCTTTCATTATAATTATTAGTAGTAGCTAACAATTTCTTCTTTAATTCTCATCTCCACCTCTTTTTCTCTCTGGAGGCTGATTATTCATTTGGTGAACCACAATGGCTGTACGTTTTTTATTTTTTCTTCTCCCTTTCTAATTTTGTTGTTCATCTCTCAATTCATTATCTACTTTTATTCTTTTATTAGTACATCATCATGATAATTTTGTTTCAAACAAACACAAAACATACAAATCTGGTTGTGGTTGTGGTTGTGGTTGTAGCATATTGAATCTATTTCAAAAGTTTTACAACAAAATATCATTTACTTTTCTCTAAATTCACCTAATTGAGACATATTATATATGATTAAGTCTATTCAAAATAAAATTTGAGGTTGAAGCTATTAAAGATGATCATGTATTTAATGTGGAGTTATGTTGATTGGTGTGGTAGGTAATATTTCACTAGGGAATTGGTCTTTTTATTTACTTTCTTAGGGCCCGGCCGTCTTCTCTCATATTAAATAGAGAGCCTCCAATAACACATTTGTATTCATTATCTATGCTGTTTTCTGCTTTTGCTTCAATTTTGTTTTATGATTTTGATAGTCAATATTGGAGGTTAAACTTGATTATAATGGTGGATCCAAGAATTTTACTAAAAGTTTGAAAAATAAAAATGTAGTGCTTGAGACTTGAAACCTCAAGGTGAATTTTGAACTCCTCAATTATTAAGCCAACATCTAATCTTATGTTCAGACGGTTCAAAATCAATCTATATATATATATATATATACATAAAAAAAAATTAAAAGTATATTATATATACCGTGTAATTTTTTAATATCTAGAAAGTTCGGACGACCCCCTTCCGATCCCTCTAGATCCGCCCGTGCTTGATAAGTGTCTAGTGAATTAAGAAATGAATTGCTAAATACACTAAGGTGGGAATTGATGTTAAGAGTCACTTATATAGTTGGGGGAAAGGAGGAGAAAATTAGACAAAACGTCTATTGATCAGTTAAAATTCATTATCAAAATAATCTAATTATCAAATGGTCATTACTGTTTCAAGCGAAGTGCATTTCGCTGGGACTTTGCCTTTTGATCCAATTCTTGAAAATAATTAATCACACAAATTTAATGAGAAGGGAAGCAAAAGTAGCCAAAGATAAATTACTAGAGCTTAGATAAGTTTCCATTTCATCAATTGAATCAACAATTTTACCATCAACTAGTGAGAGACGTGAAGGCCATTGATTTTGCTTTAAATATTTTTCTTTATACGAAACATACCCTCATATGTTTTTCTTTCTTAGTTTTAAGTCCTTGGATCTAATTAATTTCACCGATGAGTTAATAGTAATTTGCATACTCATATTAATTATTCTATAGACATTGAATAGAAAAACTAAGACCATTTCCAACCCAACTCTATTTTACTCTCTATTATCTATATTTGGAGAGTAAAATAGAGAATGGGCTCTCCATCCACCCTCCATTTCACTCTTTATTCTCCATTTTAGAGAGGTAAATAGTTTGGAGAATTACTATTCACTTTCTCTATTTTACTTTTTGATTATATTATTATTATTTTTCATATAAGACCATTAATTAAATATTTAATATACGTAATTCTTTTTAGATGTAATATAATATTTTAAAAAATACATTATTTTATATATACTATTTTCATCTCGAATTAATAATTTTAATTTTAATTTTATTTTCGTCACTTTAATATAATTTGATATTATTATTAATTGTCACTCAGATGAATGCACAAAATTGAAATGATAAGATGAAAAATTTCATTTAAAAATACAATACATAATATAATAATTTAAATATGAGATAACAACACAATACATAACATAATAATTTTATCACAACAATTTCCGTTGCAATTTATGTCCACTAATTTGTATATTATATGGAGTAATATTTATTTGCAATTTATGTTATTTAGAAATTTAGAATAAAATAAAATTTTAAATTAAATAAAAAATTTGAAAAAAATATTTTTTTTATATGCATGAAAATTATATAAAGTGATTATTTGAAAGAAAGAAAGAAAGACAGACAATTATATTATGAAATAAGAAAATAAGAATGAAATAGAAATAATAATATAATATTGAGAAGAGAGAAAAAAAATTCTTTGTTAGAGAATAAAATAGAGAATTGGATTGGAATTGAAAAAAAAGAGAACTCTATATTTGAAAAGTAAAATAGATGATAGGGTTGAAGATGCCTTAACATATAAAAAGAACAGCTATTAGTAGATCTTAGGTGAATTGATATAATAAACATTATACACTTTTAACTTCCTGCCTTAACTTAGGCCTCACATCAATAGTTTATGCAATGTAAAAATGTGTGTATAAACAACAACTATGGATGTATATACATTTTTAATACATAGTTATACAATAGATTTACATGATTATATATTATTTATTCAATATTGATACATTATATATACATTTAGCCATTTTGTTGATTTTTTTTTTTTGTTACATGTACAGTTACGTAATATGTGCACGCCCAAGAAAAAATCCACCAAACATATAAGCTATGAGTTTCACCTAATATAATTTAGAAACTAATGGCAATAAAGAGCGATAATTCCAGTGTTTGAATACAAAGACTATAGTGAAGTGGTAGTAGATTTACACAATTTTCAGCTAGGCTCCAATTTGGAAATCCATCAATCAAAAATAAAGATGAGTTTTATATATACCAGGAGTGCTAGTGAGTTTATCTGATGTGACTGTCTAGCAAGTTTCCAAATAAATCAAGAGTTAGATTCACAACAACAAAATAGTTTTTAGCGATAATAAATATGCATATTAACAGAGTGTTAAAGGCTTTACTGACATTAGATTCAATATCTTATAGGCTTTAGACACATTTACAAAGGGCATAATTGCCATTAAATATATATTTAATAACAATTAAGCTATTGTGATTAATTAAAAATCATTTTTGGTATAGTGATTGTACATTCTTGTCTTCATGAATGTCTTGCTTGTGTTATGATCAATAGCAGAAATCTGCAATAAAAGAAATTTCGTCCAACTGTTTCTGCAGCGTCCAAATGTCCCAAAGTTCGGCAATTGGGAAAATGACGATAACACGCCCTATACTGTGTATTTTGACAAAGCAAGGCAAACTCGTGGTACTGGAAAGATCATGAATCCCAATGATCCCGAAGAGAATCCAGATATGTTTCGTAATCTTGCTCCACCACCTGAAGTTGCTCCTCAATCCAAGCCTAAAAGACAAACAGAGGAACCACCAATTGGGCGTGGTGGGCAAAAGCGGGAACATAGACTAAGTAAAGAAGATGGTGAATTCCGGCAGTATGCTAATTCTCCAGGACGTAATGAGAATATGGGAAGGAAAGGTGCCAATGAGCCATCTCATCAACGTGGTCGTGGATCAAATTCTGGTCGAACTGGCAGACAAAGTATAGGATCTGAACATAGCTTTGATAAATCACCGCTGCATCCACATTACCAGGCAAAGGTTAATAATGCTGGAAGAGGTGTTGCATCTCCTGCTTGGGAAGGAAAGAATAATAATTCTTATGATAGTAGTCACGGTACTCCTGGAAGGTCCAAAGTTAAGCAAGAGAATGTACGTTTTCTATTAGAGTATCATGTTGCATCTCACTTGCTTATTCTTTGCCTTTTGATTATAGTTATGTCTACACATCATATTTGGTTGGTACCTTTTCAATCTCAGCAACTCCTATGTTATATCCCTTAGATGAAATATAGCCTAACTTGATCTGATCACATCATATATGCTTTGAGTTTAACTTCTATATATTGATAGTGTGAAACAACTTTTATATTGTCACGTCCTCGATAAGATAATGTGAGTAATCGTCTATAGTTAGTAGCTTGGAAAATAATGCAATGTTAGATACATTAATGAGGGAGGAGTAGTGAAAAAAGGACATTGTAATGTTAGCGTATGTATATAGGTTAAATCACAAGTTGTTACACTTAATTTCTTAGATAATATAGTCACTCAGGCCTCAGCTAGAAACTAAGTACTCTAATTTGAAGGTTCGATCTTTAATTACTTTTGAGATAAAACTGATAACTTAGTTGTTGTTTCTAAGAAGGGTGATAATCCACACAAAATTGTCATTGTTTTGAAGGCTTACTGCTTTCAAGAAGCATATAAATTCTTATACAACTTTAATCCACAAGCTGTTGAGGTAGTTTGTTGATTCCATTAATTTGAGATGTGAATTCTTACTTAAAGTGGTTTTTTTCGATCTGTCTTCCAGCAGTCTGATAGAGGAGCTGCAGTTCCAAGATTCGGAGAGTGGGACGAGAATGATCCTCAATCTGCTGATAACTACACACACATTTTCAACAAAGTGCGAGAGGAAAAGCAAGGAAATCCATCAGGGACACCTAGTAGAATATCTAACAACACACAAAAGCATAACTCAGAGGAAAAGCAAATGGTACAGTAAATCACTTCCCCTGCATTATATTCCATCTAGAGTCGGATCTAGGACAACTTCTATAGGTTCAAACATAACTTATCTTTTTTCGACTTACAATTATGTACGTATATTGACAAAAACAAATAGAATTGTGCTCTATTCATTCTCAATCTAGTGACTCTAAATCCTGAATTTGCCTCTTATTTGTTTAGCTAATGGTTCTTATTTTCGTGTCTTTGTTCTGCAGAAGTGGTGTTGTTGTCCCTGGTAATTATGCAAGGGAGGACCTTGATTTTATTCTGAAACAGCCAAGGGATGTGTAAATAGTTCAACAAATTACTTGTGCAATATATTAGAGTAATTCATTTATTCTGTGTTCCCACAGAATTCTGCAATTGTATTGTCAACTTGTAGTCTTTTTCTTGTACTTCTATTTGTATGTTACAGACAGTGCTTGACTGCTTGCAGATTTTTATTGTTTTCTCAATTTTGTGTGTGCAATGCAAATGCTTGTAATAGTATTTGATTACTGCTCAACTACTACTTTCTTCTTCTCAAAAAGAATTCTGCATTTTGAATTATGAGGTTTAAAGTATCTAATTATCCATGAATTTGAAGTTGATTCCTGTGCTTTTTAGTAAAATTCAAATATTTATCAAGTGTTAAAAAGTTGTTGTAAATCACAATTATTTAACTTATGATGGTTCTTTTCTTTTTTTTAGGAGAATTACACATATTTTGTATATCCAAGGATGTCGTATCTAGGGTAAATTTAAAATAGATTTTGTGATCATCTTTAATGTCATTTACTTTTCAAAATAAGCTAATTTTAAAAGTTTGGTCAAATAGATTATTAAAAGTGCTTATAAACTGAAAAGAATATGCTGATCAAGCTTATAAAGACAAGATCAATAATACTTCATAGGTTGGCCATCCCAATTTATAACTTTTCATCTTATATGTTTCTACAATATATCTCGTCAAACTTGTAAAATTAATTTATTTTGAAATGTGTTTTTTCAAAAGTACTTTTGTTACAACCCATTATTTTGAAATGTGTTTTTTTCAAAAGTGTTTTTGTCACAACCCATTATATTGAAATGTGTTTTTTTAAAGTGTTTTTGTCAGAATCCAAAAGAAAAAATTGTCGCATGATTCGGAAGATGGACAAGAACTACTAAGAAGATCCACATTAGCCTAAAAACGAAGGCTCATCCTCGGATAAAAAATACACACGCTAAGACAATTATGTTTGGCCATAATATTTGAGAAATATATTTCACTTTTTTAAATAATATGATTTTTAACTATAAGTTTTTTAAAAAAACTATCAAAATTAACCATAGATTTGTATTACATAGCAAGATAGAAACGTCAACATAACAAGATTCATGACTTCCGCAACAAGTCAATTGTATCTGCATTGCGGCAAATAACAAGTAGTAGTATCCATGACATTGGAGCAATGTGGTAATTTGGAGTGAGTACAACAAGCATCATTCCATACATCGTGAAATAAACGAAACACATAACTTTATTACCCTAAGCCGATTGTTCGTCATTTTCATCAACAACCATATCATCACTTTCGTATTCACTGAATATTTCATCACTGCTTTGATGTTCGCATAACAATTATGCAATACAACGCAAACCAACATTATAGAGTGTGTTTTTATAAAAGATAAAAGTTTGGTGTAGAATTTGAATTTTAAAAAATTCCCAAATAATGAGATTTGACCCAAATACTACTTTTTTCTAGTATTTGGGAATTTGGGTTATTTGCCAAGTAATGACAAATTATATGGACAAATACTATTTGCCAAATTTTCCCTCAAATTTTACTTGGAAAATCTATTGCCAAATAGGTTCTTAAAAAAAATAATTTTTTAAGTTTAAAAAAGAGTAGGGGGGGCTACTTTTGATTTTAACTTATGGTATGTCATTTTAATTTTTTTTAAAGTTATTTTTAATTTTGTCAGACATTTTTTACTTATTTTTAAAATTTGCCGAACACTTTCAAAAGTAAAAAATTAATTTAAAAATAAATTTGACCAACTTTAAAATCAATCCGAATGTCCTCCAAAATTGAGATTTGGGATCCCCAAGGGCCAGTAGTTTGTTAAGAAATGACTAATGAGATTAGCATAAAATATTGGAGAAGTATGCATAATAGCAAAAGTCTAGGGTGGAATCTACAATTAGCCCAAAAGGAAAAGATATAAAAAACAGCTAAAGCAAAGAGAGTCACATGAGTTAAGCAGGTCAAGTCAAAACACAAAGGACAGTAAGTTTTAAGCGAGCGAAAAAACCTCAAATTCGCCGCCAAAATTTGGCGCTCCTCCAAAATTCGAAATTCAAAGAAATTGTATAATGCCAATTTCAATATTCAATTTCTTTCTCCCTCCTATACTTCCGCTGTTCCTTCATCTCTCTCTTCTCACCATTAATGGCAGAACTCAATATCATTTTCAGGTATTTCTCCCAAACCCTAATTTACGCTTCAATTCAGGAATAGACCCTTCCTTTTCCAATTTTCTTTCACCATAACTGCAAAACCACCTCAGTCATTAGTCATCCAAATAATTCCAGATCTGATAGATTTTGTTTCATGCGATTTAAGCTGTGGCGCTGGTTAGAAATTTGTATATTCTTGAATTGTTTTTGTAACTAGTTTGGTGAAGTTATGGTGAGAGAGCAAAGTATTGAATCATTTTACACTCGGTTGCGGGATTCAGCTCTAGCTTCAGCTTCTACGTCACCGCTGCTAGTTTTCCCCTCAACTTCTGATGTAGATTCACTCTGCGCTCTCAGGATAATAGGACATGTTCTTGAATCTGATTCTGTTAGATATGCTTGTTACCCAGTTTCCAGTTTTAAAGAGATTTATAAGTATACTGGGGATAATCTAGGGTCAGCTGCAGATGAGCCAATTACTATTTTGCTGATTAATTGGGGGTGTCAAAGGGATCTTAAGAAGGTTCTAGACATTGGTCCCTTAGCACGTGTTTTTGTTGTGGATAGTCATAGGCCTATACACTTGCATAATTTGAGTAACCAGAATGATAGGGTTATAGTGTTATACACTAGGGATGATGAGCAGCAGGCTGATTTAGCGTATGATTTTGATGTTTCTGCTTTGGCAAATGCTAGTGATTTGAACAGTGAGGATGAGTTTGAAGAGGAATCTGATAGTGAAGATGAAAATGATAGTGAGAGTGAGGAGGAAGATGGGGATGGGATGAGGAAGAAGAGGAGGGTTTCTGCGGAAAATGAGGGTGACCCTGTTAAGCTTTTTGGGAAATTGAAGAGGGAATACTATTACATGGGTAGCTTCCATGGGAAGCCATCTGGTTGTTTGATGTATGAACTGTCCCATTTTTTGAGAAAGAATACTAATGCGTTGCTTTGGTTGGCCTGTGTAGCTTTAACTGATCAGTTTGTTCATGAGAGATTAACCGATGAGCGGTATCAGGCTGGGGTAATGGAGCTAGAACAGCATATCAATAGTTCAGGCAATTTAGACTCTATCACCTCAGTTACTCTTAAGGATGGGACAAAGGTCACAGCACCAAATTCTTCAAGGATTGCATATGAGTATGAACCTAGGCTGATGTTGTTACAAGAGTGGAACTTGTTTGATTCAATGTTGTGTTCATCTTACATTGCAACTAAAATGAAGACATGGAGTGACACTGGGATTAAGAAGATGCAGCTTCTTTTAGGTCGAATGGGTTTTGCACGCGAGGAATGCAAACAAAAGTTTCAGTTCATGAGCATTGAGATCAAGAGGAGAATGAAGGACATGTTTGAACAATATTTGCCGGAATTTGGCCTCACTGATTTCTATTATAGAGGTTTCTTGCTTCTTCATGGGTATAGTTCAAAAGTTTCAGCAGCTGATGTGGTGTATGGGGTTACTGCACTTCTAGAGTCATTTGTAGAGTCAGATGGATCATGTGCCTCCAAACAGTTTGGGGAGGCTTACGATGCATTATCCTTGACCAAGCTTGACAAGTTGGAAACTGGAATGCGGCAAGCTATCAAAGTTCAAAGGGCAATCCTTAGACAAGGGAGTGCAGCAATTACCAAGAAAGGTTCTATAAGAAGTGGGAGTAAATTTAGGTGGGTGAAGCTTGAAGACTCAGCAGATGCAAAGCTCCTGTGTCATCCTCAGGCTTTAACTAAATTTGGTTACTTTCTGATGGATGCTTTACGTGAGAAAGGAGCAAGGATGAAACCATTGATCTGCATTTGCTACACCCAGGAACGAAGTAAAGTGTTGATTGTAGCAATATGTGGGAAGCCACGACTTGGTGCAGTCCAAGGAAATGCATTTGGGCTTGCATTCAGAAGTTCAGCTGAAGAGACAGGAGCTGAGTTCTTTCATGAACTATTTGAATCATCATGGATAGTTTTGGATGCAGTTGCTGTCAATTCATTCATGATCAGGCTAACAGAGAAGCTTTTGTAATGAGGTTTATCCAAACAACCTTTCTTTTTACCATTTAACTGTAGTTCTGTTCTTCAGAAGTTTAATAGTCTCCTGTGATGAAGCTCCCTTGGATTGTACTCATCCAAAATAATTCATTAGCTATGGACTTAATTCATGTATGTAACCAAGTTGGCTGCTTGTCTTCATTTGTTGTTACTGCAATTTATTTTCACTTGTATTTAGTTTGATCATGTCGAAGCTATTATCATGTAACACTATGCTTCTTACTCTCTTTGTATCCTTTCTGTTTGATCTTCTTACTATAAGAATGTGTACTTGCACATAAATCTTATGTATCTTAAAATGATTTTGTGAAGCTACTATCAGTTATGTGAGGTATTGTGACTATCACCATTAATGCAGCTTTATGATTTTGTCATTCATTTCATTGTTTGAGGTGACTGAACCACTTACATTTACTTTGCCTTTACTTCAGCTTACTGCTAGTAGTTGCATGAGATAATTGTCTTTCGTTTTTTTATCCTTCTTGTGATTCAGCAGACTTTTGATGCAAAAGATGGTACTCAAGAGATATTCCCTCACAATTTGGATGGCATAGCTTGACTGGGAAAGATTAAGCCATTAAAGTTTTCAAGAAGCTCTTGTTGAATTGAAGAAGAGTAAGAGAACTTGAAATGTGTGTAGAAAGAGTTCAAAAGATAAGATTTTGGGCGAAAAAGTCCGCCATTGTCCCTTAAGTTTGGACCGTTACTTGAAGTTGGCTCTATACATAACATGGATCATAAGCAATTCAAATATTCAAAGTTCTTTTTTTCCTTGTCCAACTGTATCAGTAAAAATAACTGATCTGTTACTGCAAAAGTCACCTTATCTTTATCTATGGAGGTAACTTGGAGGTATTTTCACCTTGGGACACAATTTCCTTTGATCCTTCCTAACTGTGCCTTAAAAGTCTGTTTCTTAAGAATCCTTCTCATTGTGAGTCACAATTT